ATGTCATGAACAAGGAAATGGGCTGACGTACATTTCAGAGATGCATCCCGTCATTAATTGAACAATCAATGACGATAGATTTGACGCAAACTTAACCGTCAGAAGTCACAGTTAATAATAACTGACTTCATTACTAACTGTGACTTCTGACAGTTAAGTTCGCGTCATCTATCGTCATTGATTGTTCAATTAATGACGGGATGCATCTCTGAAAGTACGTCAGCCCATTTCCTTGTTCATGACATAAATTCTGCCAAATTCTTGTCATGCATATATAATGGACACAATCTTCGCAATCTTGCTGTTACATAGTTACTCTACACATTTATTTATAAAATTTTTTGTGTTCTTTTTGGTACTGAAGAGGACCCAAATAATAGGGTCGAAATGTTTACCTGATGTCATAATTATATAATTTTATTGTTCATTAATAAATTGATTATTACACATAATATCCTGTGTCGGCTCTAATAGGCATTGAAAGATTTTTATTCAGATTATTTCTAGAGAGCCTTTATCTTTGATCTATTGTTCCTATATCAAGTTTGATACTAAATCTATTAGGAACACAATTATTATTATCAAGAGTTATTCGTTGTAAGAGTAGAAGAACAATTTTATGTTCTCACTTAGATAGATCGCATGTATTATGAATTATGATTTGAGTAACGTTTGCTATATGTAATAAAATAAAATATTTCTTAACGTATAAATTTTGATACAAAAAAGTTTCTTGAAATTTTTTTGGATAAATGTATCGATGGAACGCTGAGAGAAAAATGTTTGGTATTTGTAACTATAATTACATATCACTATAATTATGATTATTACTATTATAATAATAGTAACAGTAACTATGTATATAGTTCTAGTACCATATTTTTTATGATTGGTCCCAAATATATAACTATAAAATTATAGTCGCTTTAATCATTTTTATGGTAATTTCAACTATAATTATAGTCATTTTAGGTTGCTAACTATATACATTTGTTACTAGAACTATATACATAGTTACTGTTACTGTTATTATAGTGGTAATAATCATAATTATAGTGATATGTAATTATAATTACAAATACCAAACATTTTTCTCTCAGTGAAGGAGCCTATCCCGATGACATATGTTATCAAGGTCATAACTGCGTGATCTCCAACAGGTTTTAGCAATCGTTCGTTATTAGTTAAAAAGTCATTAACAAAAAAAGATTTAAAAATTATTATTTCTGCCACATATCTACAATATTAAAAACTATTCTATACTCTCCCCTACATACGTAATGACTTTCCATGCGAAGCGAATTCCTCCCTCCTCCCCCCTTCTCCCGTTATTCTCCGTATGTCTAGGGACATAATGTCTTTCCATACAGATGGATTTTGCTTCTCGTGGAAAGTCGGAACACCTCTAGGTAAGAGGGGGATGGGGTGGAACTCGCGTCGCGTGGAAAATTATGCGCCCCTAGGAGGGGAGCTAGAGTGGAATTCATTTCGCGTGGACAATCGCGAATTTAAAATATTTTAAATATTTTAAAGCAGAAAATTTTTGTTTTATATGGTAGAAAGAGACAGCATTTTCAAATTTTTTTTGTTTGTAATGTTTTAACGAATAACGAACGACGGCTAAAATCTGTTGGAGATCACTCATGACTATGATAATATATGTCAAGGTCAAGATTATCGGGGTGGGCTCCCTCCATCGGCATATCCACCTTATTTTGTATATAAAATTGTAATCGTAAGTAATTTTTCTTTCAACCCTTTTCCTTAAGATTTAATTTTGATAATGCCTGCGAGTGAAGAAATAGGTGCATGCAATATATGTGTGCGTGCATAAATTTTATATTAAAAAAAAGATATCCAAGAAAAACCCAATTGAAACACATGTGCATAATATATGAAATAATCAATTAAGTTAGCGTTGTACAAACGCACGAAGTACACATAAAGAACACAGCGCACGATTTCAATAGCGCTCGAATATTTAAACGTACACTTATCAAATAACAAGCCAATGCTGATGAGGGCAATTAAGTTGTTTGCTACTGCAATTCTTACCCAAGGATCATCTAAATTCTAAAACAGAACCAAGATAAGTAGCAAGCGTGCTCTTAATTCTTATACTTTGATTACTATTTATAAAATTATATATGTTAAATTTTTGCGAGTAATTGTTTAAAAAAAATAGATATATTTGTATTTCTTCAAACTTTTGCGCTGCAATTAAATGTAATATAAGCACAATTAAATATAACAATATTTTAACGTAAAATCGAAACGTTGTATATACAAGTTGTCCCATTTTAAATAACGACTTCTAATATCTCTTAAACATTTTAAAGTTGCAAAAAAGTTGTAAAGTTTTTATAGCTCATTCGATTGTTCATCGTTTGCACATATACATATGCACATTTCGAATTTTCATTTACACATGCACTTTCAATAAAAAAATTATTCAAAAAACAATTTTAGAGAGGTTAACTTCACATTAACCCCCCAATTGCGATTTGAGCCTAATCTACCTGAGCTAAGTCGACAGTTCTCGAAACTTTAATTGTTAATAACTTTTTAACTACGAGTGTCAAACGAAAATTCAACTTGTTTCGGAATGTGCAAACTAAAATCTATCGATTAAGCTTTTTTTAATTTAATTTGTTCACAGTTGGAAAGGTTAGTGTGAAGTTAACCCCTCTAAAATTGTTTCTTTACTGAAAGTGTGCAAAATTCGAAATGTGCATACATGTGCAAACGATGAGCAATCGATTGAGCTATAGAAACTTTATGTTTTCTAATGTTGGGGAGCTAACTTCACGATAACCTTCGCGTGGTACACCTTTGGGTAATATCGGCGGTAGTGTAATTTTCAAGCATTATAACTTGAAAGGTATTTAATAAAATATTTTATAATAGAGCTTTGAAAAGCTCTTGAGGTAAACTACAAGAATATGTAATGGAAAATGAGGAGTTCCATTTAAAAATCTAAAATAACTCTGACAAAATAACGCCACTCAAAGTCAAACCAATAGTACCATGTATCTTACCTTTTTAAAAAAAAACTAAGAATAATAACAGTTTTTATGCAATTTAGAAACATTATTAAAATTAGGAACATTATTGTAAATTATCTCTTTGAAAGGAATGTATAACAAGACATAAATATCTAATAATATAGTTTTCGTTATAATACATTACGAATTAGGCTGTTTATTTGCTTAGTATTGTCTTCCAACTTGCATTTAAACATTTGCAATTTATATTTATATTTTAAAGCTTTAAAATATTATTGATTTATTATAAATTGAACAAAAAGTCGTTTAATTAATGTAAAATTAGGAATGTCAAAATTTAAATCAACAATGGAATAAAACGTTTAAGAAATACTTAAAAAAAATATACATATTTACGAATTAAATTGTCAAGCAACTTTTAAAATATGGAATTATATAAAAAATTATATAAAACTTAATAACAATTAAACATATCCAAAATTTAATTTGGATAAAGTTTTTTAAAGTTTTTTTTTTTTAAAGTTTTTTCTTAATAACATATCCAAAACCTAATAACAAATGAATCCTATTTAAAAACCTACCTCACAATATTGTGATAATTTATAATGATTGAGAAAAACCATCAGGAACTGCACACTAATATATATTTTTTGTATTTTTGATATGTAAGGATCGTATACAGCTCTAGGCTTCACCTACAAGAGATAACAAAACAATATCTTGTATTAAATTTAAAATAAACTAGATTTCTGTTCTAATTTTTAATAATGTTAAATATTATTTATAAATTAAAATAGCATATGTATCTTATTCAATTTATTAAAAATTTTTTATTATACCTTACCTTTATTTTGAATTCATCTAAACCTAAACGTGGTCCACCTAGAAACCAGCTAGGACCTTTCCAAAAAGCAGCAAACTTATCAGCCCATGTATTCATACTTATACTTTTCTTAATTAAATCTTTCAAGTAAAATATCTACAATATACAATATTAGATAATAATAATTAAAAACAATTCAAATTGTTTATCTCATATTTATGTATAAAATTACTTTTATTTTATTATTATTATTATTATTATTATTCACAAGCTTTTAAATATTTTTTTAGTTTTGCTTCCTTTAGTTTTTTTATGTTTATCAATAAATTAGGAAATTGACATATTTACAATATACAATAACATTTTAATTTAAATTACGTCACTATTCATATCTATATATATAAGTACTAACTTATTTTTTTATCATTTACTATTAAGTGCATAAAAAATTTAAAAGGACAATAATTCATTATTATGAATTTTACCTGCAAATAAAATGCATTAAATGATTCAACATTAACTACTAATCCATAAATTATCTCTTCATTTCGTTCTTCTTCTTGAAATGTACCAAATAATCGATCCCATATTATAAGTACACCACCATAATTCTTATCCAAACAATAAAGATTACAGCCTACAAATACAGAAGTGCACATATAATATAAATCGCGAAAAAATATTAGATATATATTTAATTTACCATGGTGAACACGATGATGCTTAGGCGTATTAAAAATTAACTCGAATGGTCCGAGATCACCAATAACTGTTGTATGTATCCACAATTGATATATCAAATTGAGTTGATTATGCACAATAAAATGTGATGGAGGTATAAAAAAGGCAAGCGGTAAATAAATTACCTGCAAAAAATATTTAAATCAAAATACATAAGATATTTAAATCAAAATATAAAGATGCATTTTATTTTAAAATCTTTTAGTTTTAATTATAAACAGTCTTCAATTTGTAATTTATTTTAATTGGTTTTTAAAGACATAGTGTAATAAGTATTAAAATTATCTATTAATATTTTTCTTCGTATATTGTTAATTTTGATAAAAATGTTAAAAAAGTGATATTTACGAAGTTGCACCAATGTTGCAGAACGGATTGTCGTAAACCAACCGCGAGATTAAACTCCTCACTGCTGTGATGCACTTGATGGTGGGCCCACAAAAAGTGAATTTCTGCAAACAATAAGTCAATTAATATTTTAAATTAAAGAGAAAGAGAGAGATTGCTGTGTGTTAACACGAGGAATGTTTGGAAATTAACCATGATTACTGCGATGAGCCCAATAGTAACAAAAGTCTACGGCAATGAAGGTAATATACCATGTGCATAGCGAATTCCAGGGTAAAGTATATTCTCTGCCAAACCTCTCATAAATAACAATGTATAAATAATATTCGGCACCGCGAGAAAATATTCTGTGAAACCAATAATAATATTTTATCTAAATTTGACAAATAAAGAAAGATACGACTAATACACGTTATATTCATATTTATGTATTTATTATCTTTATTCATTTTTTTATAACTTATTATTACAAATATCTTATTTTTATTATGTGCTTATTATATATTTTTTATAATCTTAAAATTTCTAAAAATCTTCTTTATACAACCCCCTTTACATTAGATTTCCTATTTCTTCAGGTAGAAAGTATAATTGAATAAAATAAGATAATTGATTTATTATGTTCCCCAGCACAGAGTAAAGCTAAAGGAATAAGAACAGAATAAAATCACAATAAATAGAAAATTAACTTGTAACTAGAATACATTGCACGTAAATATTTATGTCGATAACGATTGCAAGAAATTATTTCTTAAATTATTTAGAACTATTCGATTGTTTTTCTGAAAACTAATGAAACAAATAGTTCCCAGGAAAAAATAATAAAAACTGTACGTGTGTATATATTTCCTACTTTTTTTAATATAGTAAAGGATAAGTTGTAATTATCCTTACCGGATAGTTTCGTAGAGCATCCAATGAGATAACGATGTCACTTGATCATTTAAACGAAATTTTTTTCTTAATATTAGTTGTTCCAGAATCAGTAGCAGAAAAAACGGTATCCATATCTATAAATATATCAGAGATTGTATACGCAGAAAGTTAAGTTTTTTATGTATTAGTAGCGCGTAGTTTCATGTATTAGTCGCTACGTTCGAATGAGGTCTCGACAAGAATAGCGCGCACATATGACTTGTTAACGATTCATGTAGCTTGCTGTGTTCGTAACAAATAACAGGCCAGCTGCGCATTCAAATTATCGGACTTCCTCAATGCATTTGACATCGTTTATGCTGCTTTGACATAAATCGTACCAAGTAGATTTTTCAAAGAAAAATTTTATAAATTCTATTCGAGCCGAATGTACATCAATGTATAATGAAGCCAATCAGAGATAAATAATTCATGCTGACATTAGAGGGAAGCATTTTTTTAATTTAAATTATTATTATTACTATTAAATAAGTAATGTTAAAATAAAACAGCAACATTAATTAATAATTAACAATAAAAATTAAACTTTAAGAAAATTATTCATAATTAAAAATATTCTTTAGATCATTGTCTCTAACAATTTTTTTATTTGCTTTAGTGTAAATTATTTGCTGCTACACCTTTATTAAATTTTATTAATAATCTTTATAAATATTTACTAAATCTATGTTTATTTTATATAATCAATTAAAAAGCAGTATATAATTCTTTTCTAATCAGTACATAACAATGCTACTTTAAAATTTTTTTACAATTGAAAATATTACGGATAATCATAAATATTTATAATTTCACAAATTAATTATATTATAACATATGAGCGCGAGCGTGACATGACAAACAGTGCACTGATCTAGCATGCCAAAGGTCGGCTTTGATCCCAGTAAGAAAATATTTATAATTGCTCGTGTCTCCCCGGAAAAAGCCAACAACCTCCCGAGAGTAATCGTTGTAAATTCTTTTTTATAAATTTTTTATTAATTTAAATTATAGCATACGTTTATATATATAATAAAATAATAGCATTTCAAATAATTAAAATCTGAATTCTTTACCTATAAATGTTTTAGAAAACAGCTTTATTTTCAAAATTAAATTGTTTATATATTCGTTTAAGTAATCAACACTTAACACGTCTGCTTTATAACATTATTTACTCTATGACATTATGCAATATGTAAAAACTAGAATGTAATTTAAGGGACTTATTCTGTAATTCTTAACGACAGTAACGATATTATTACATTGTTATTGCGCAGGTTTTGTATATAGTAAAAAAGCCGTGCAACGACAATGTAATGATATCGTTATAGTTGTTAAGAGTTACAGAATAGCCCCCTAATTTAATAAAAAATTTAGCAGAAATGTCAAAATTTTCTTACAATAACATATAAAATAAAAAACAGGCGATTAAGAGTAGAAATTAAGACGCAGTTATTAAAGAGTTATACATTAACAACGTATTTCATAAATCTTACAACTAGTACGATGAAATCGAACGTTTCGGCTCAGTTCGAGCCATCCTCAACGATGTCCAAATAACATTATAATCAATTCCAGATAATATATTCAAGAATGCAGCAAAGGGAGCCTCTTCAATTTCAAACTTGAGAAGCATCACTGTCAATTAGTTGAGGATAGCTCGAACTGAGCCGAAACGTCCGATTTCATCGTATTAGTTGTAAGATTTATAAAATACATTGTTAACGTATAACGCTTTAATAACTGTGTCTTAATTTCTGTTCTCAAACGCCTGTTTTTTATTTTATACGTTATTGTTTTAATCTCGAGAGCTTAATTGTATTCTTTAATTTATTATTTAAAATTTTCTTATATGGATTTTTTTATTTTTCACATGAAAAATATTACCTGTTGTTGATAGTCCGGCACTTCATGTAGAAACTCGAAAGTCGTCTCCTTTGGACTAACCAAATACCAAAGTCTTCCAACATGTTTTCGAAAATAATCAATTTTAGCGAGTAAGTTTAATGTAATGTTCATCTTGTGTTTACACTCACAAATACGCGCAAATTATTAAACTACAAATGTTATAAATTTTTTAGGAATATCTTAGGTATATAATATGCGAACGTCTCAGACGATATACGGCATCAATTTAATCGCTCACGTCGCGCGTATGTATTTATATAAGTAGGCTAACGCACGTGACAATATCAGTAATCGCGATAGGTGTAATCAAACCCGCGAATTTAAAATTACTTATTAACATAAAACGATTAAAATAATACATCGTATTCGAGCTTTATTATTATATTACTTACGGTTTTCGTTCATCGATATAAAATATACATCTAAAGAACAGCAAAAATTAATAATGACCTTTAATTGATTTTGTAGAAATAATTTAATGCAAAACTTATTAAACAAAAATTATTTTTAGGATTATTAGGTATAATATTAAATATAAACTTCCAAAAAATATCTCTAAAAAATTATTCTTTATAAAATCATTTTTAGAAAAATTGAGCTTTATTAAAAATATCTTTAAGAACTGAACTTAAACAAAATAATATAAATATATATATAAATACCTAAATACATAAATACATAAATAAATATTTAATATTTAATTATAAAAATTTAATAATAATAAATTTCTTTTGTGATGGCATCTGCCTTGATAAAATTTTATCTTGTATATAAAAAAATATAATTTTTTAGCTATTAGAGAAAAACGTATTATTAAATATTAATATTTATTTCTAAATGATATTAAAAGATTATGTATGTATCACATTCGTACAGAAATAAAAACAATAAATTGTAATAAAAATAATATTTTTTACAAGTATAAGATAATATACTACAAGTAAGAGTTTAATGCCTATTACGGTCGAAGCAGGATGTTAGATACTTTTAAATAATTTCTATGTGAATTTATATACTAAAATAAAATATAACTAAATATGTAGTTATTTGAAATGAGCGCCAAAATGATTTTTCGAATTTATAAACGCAATCAAACTACTATAGTAGTATCACAAATTAAATTGATAAGCAATTTAATAATTTGATGCTGAATCTGGCATTTTATTAGAAAGACATTAATGTACTGAAAAACGCCAAATAAATTTATTGCGAAAAATATTATCTCGATCGGGAGTCGAACCCGGATCTCTTTTTCTATTCCGTACGGTCGTCCTAAGCCTTTAAACTACTGAAGCAGGTATCTCGACCGGGTATCTCTTACTTGTTGTGTATTCACATATGGTCTTAATAAATTGTTTATTATGATATAGGATATATTTCAAATTTTTAAATTCTAGAAAGATATGAAATTGTCTAAAGAAGTTTGTTTTTATTTTGATTGCTTTGATGAAGTTTGTTTTTATTTTGACATGTTCACAGAGTTTTTTCGTTTAAAAGAGAAAACACTCTATTGATATATAGTAGAAGAATAATGATAAGTAGTAATGTATTGAATATATATGTATAATAGTAGAATAATGATTAATAGAAATGCATTGATCATTTGATTATAAATTTTTCAACAATTATTTGTTTAATAATATTTTATGCATCAATTCAAGCAACATAATAGTTTGTTTGAATTAGCATTTTACTTGTAAATTAATTACTACACGTTGATAGCATGTTGATAGTATGTATATATGTACATAATTAGAGGCACTGTTATAGATAATGATAATTAAAGAAGAATTCACTACAGAATTTAACTACAGAACGCACAGTTACACCAAGTCGACTTTGTGTATTCCTATGTATATTCAAAATCAATTGTCGTGAAACGCACTTTTCGCTAGATCTATGATACTGAGATAGATACGCAGATACAAGAGATCTACATCATGTGTGTCAAAGGCTCATGTAACAATAGCATAAGCAACGCATTCCCCCTCCAAGATATTTACAATCAGTGATAGATTTTACAGAATGTCTGTTTTCATGCATGTTCAAGTGACACAGCACTCGATTCTTTTTATAGTCATTTTGCGAATTAAAATTTGAATTATTCAGATACATTACACATATAAAAAATTTGAATAATTTAAAATTCCATATGGAGATTTAAAATATTTGAATTATTTAAATAAAAAGTAATCACTATATCCCCAAACATTATCAATAAAACTTAATAAGTTTTTGCAACAAATGAAGATCTTGATTTCGAATTTTGATTCCGATTTATTCGTACTGATCATGCAATTCTAGCATGAACTCTAATGTATAAACGTGCTAAGCATATTATCTGAGTGGCGTATTGTGGCAGTGACATCATTACTTTGTAATAGCAGAACCGAATCGCAAATTTTCAAAGCCTGAAGCTAATAATCTGGCAGTCAAAAATTTATGCAAATTCTCATAATGTAAATTGATATATAGATAAAATTTATAGCAATTTAAATATAATTTTTTTATCCAAATTAATTGTATCTAATATTTTGCAGTAGAATTTGGCGCGCTTATATTTATTTTAATAATGTTTCTGTTGTTATGGAAAAATATGTGTACACATTAAAATGTAATCTCAAATAATTGCGCGCGCGCGTGTGTGTGTATGTGTGTGTGCGTGTGATTCGTATAAAGTGATCGATTTAATTATTAGCGAAATTTGAAGACATACGGAAAAATGGTTTATACTAATATGTTAAGTACAAAGGGACATCACATAGTGAAAATAATTATTTTATGGGCGGACGCGCTGGAGACATTTCGAGGTGAATTTCATTTTTTTAAGTGAAATACCATATTTTTTATTTTACATTGTATGACAGGCTTTTTTAAGACAAATTCAAAAGGAAAAAGTTTTTTCTTTTAGCATAAATTATCACGTCTTGTACTTTGCGGGCGTGAATTTTGAAACATCCTGTACATGATACGTGTTGCATTTAAGCACAAGTTTATTAAAGTTATCACACGATTAGCTGTGTATACATACACACATGCATATAGAAACAGTAGAAAGCATTTATAAGATTTATTAGCTGCTTTCCATTTACACCGATTCTCAGAGTGCGTTCCGAATTTCGCATGAAGCGCATGATGCATCATATGTGTCCTTGTTGTTCACCAAATAATAAAGAAGGATAAAACGATACATCATGCGCTTCACGCGTCACTCGGAATGCACCCTCAGATAATTCTCACTTGTGACGTTATAACTCAGTTGAATGCGCAACAATACTAATGTGTCATTCTAGCTTTATTATTTACTAAATATAAAATAAAGATAGAACGCACTAATAGTTATATGTATCAGAGCTAATAGCTTTAAATGAATTAGAATAGCATAATCTTTTGATCTGAACCGAAGGCCGACTTCTTATTGGCTATTTTGATCGCTATTTTTAACCTGCTGGTCTGTTGTTCAATAAGTAAGTAATAAATAATAAATAAGCTTAGTAAATAAGCTAGTAAATAAGTAAATAAGTTTATTAATTATTTAAGATGATATAGTTATTAGATAAAAAAATGGCGAATTTTTGCGCTACCCTTGTATATCTAGAGCTCTAGCTAATGTAGCACTGAAAGCGTGCTCCCACAATGATGATCTGTTGAGAGAAAATATAAATATCATATAAGTATAATGATGATTCGGAATAATAGATGCGAAATCATTCCGAAATCATTCGAGATTAATAGTATGTATATATAAATTATAAATTATAATGTACATATATGAACAATACAATATCTGTACAATTCGTTTATATTCTAAAATGCATTGCAGTAAATCTTCGTCGTTATTTGTATAATATGTAATAATTATAATATGGAATAATGTAGAATAATTTGTTTCCAACACGGGGAAGATGAAATAAGCCATAGAGATTATACTTTAAAAGCAGTTTGGTAGCCCACAGGTGTTTGCATGATAATAAGCACAATAGCTACCATTTGCTGTATACATCATGCCATACGGACGTACTATACAGACAACCCGTCGTTGGCTCGGTTCGAATCTTGAGGTGTCGCTTTCTGATGGTCTATTTTTAACGAAAGGCGTCCCAAGCAAGTCGGCAAGCAGGCGCTGTATAGACGACGGTTTGGGCACTATTATAAAGCAGTCTGTGCCGGCTGTGTTTGTAATTCATCGCATATAAGTGCGGATCCGGCTGATCAAACTCGAAGATCTCGGACAGATCTTCATGGTGAAGAGAAGGGCACAAGGTGGACTCTCTCGATAGTACCAGTGGTAGACCTGTAGAGAAGCCATCGAGAGGCCTCCGCTGCCACGGAAGTGACACTTCTCTCACCAACAAGGTTGATCCGTTCCGGAGACCCGTTCAAGTATGTAGGAGAAGCGATCGATACCGATATATAATCCGTGTTTGGATAACGACTTTTCTTCCGGGAAAAATCTTTTTGCTACTGGAGTTGCGATCCGCTGAAGATCCACAAAAATTCAGTCGGCAGTTCGCTCGATATAAAAATAAATTTTATTTTTCTCTCTCTCTCTCCCTCTCTCTCTCTCTCTCTCTCTCGTTCTCCATTACTCTCTTTTCTCATTCCTATTCTATCAATGAATCGGCCGTAGTTGTTGGTTACTGAGCGTTGCAGCAGCAGCGGTGGCGTGGTAGCAGCGGCGGTTACTCCTTCTGGTACGTTGCCTTTCGTATTTGAACGAATGGTGCGTGCCAGAGAACGTTTTGCAAGATGCGAGATTCACCTCCCACAGCGAGGGAGCTTTCGTCGGCGAGTTTAGGCGGACTGTGACCACCTCCGGCAAAGTGTGTAGGCCGGGGTATCGCGCATTACGTAAAGCCGTGGGAAAAATAAATCACGGGTAAAGAAGGAAAACAAAGTGTAGGTGAAGAAGGGAGACGACCCACTTTCTGTGTGCATGTACGTCGCGATGAGGAGAGCATCGTTTGATAAGTAAAATCTCTGTTCGTAATGTCTCTGTCCACCTGGGAAAGAGGGAGAGAGAAAGTGCATATTACCCGAGTCATAGTTTTCCCATTTCTCTTTTTTTTTTAATATTTTAATTTATTATCATTATCCGTTTGCAAAAGAGGATTTTCCCGAGAGAGTGCGTGATATGAGAAATGTCAGTTATGTTTATCAACGTGGCTATTTTTCCGTGATAAATTAATACTACATGTACTAATCGTGACATGTTTCCAATCGCGGTAATTATACAGAGATTTTAGTGACAGTATTTTGTTGTGAAATGGAAGAAGAAGAAAG